AAGTCACCAATNCCAATTCGAACACCTCTCCTCACTACCACCACTACCACCACCACCACAACAACAGCGGAAGCCCACACCCGACGTCATTCTTTCTACGTATCCCTAAGCGGTGGTTGACTGCGTGCAATCCACCGTCCTTCCTGAAGGTCAATTTTGGGAGTGTATTCATTATAACCAACTGATAAATATGAATTCCACTACGTCAAATTATATTTCAAGCTGAATGAGGAGCAATATTTCAAATGCAGACAATTTAGGGCAAATAGTATCTTGTCGTCGTGGTACACGTTGGAGGTTTATGTACTTTGTTATGAGTCGACTTCGAAAGCAAATTTACTGTTTACACCGGAGCAAACAAAGATCTTTTCGAGGATGAACCACAATTAATTGGTCGAAACAGATTACCACTTATCGTACCCAACAGTATGGTATCAACGGCAACGTATAAACTAAAATCACCGGTTTGTAACTGGCTTACCACCATAGGAGTGGCGAAACTCCCTTAAAGTTTGAGCTGTGGTAACAGTCGTAAAACTTGGTCGTAAATTGGTGAAGCGCGTGGTGTTGTTCAACTTGAAACGTCCAACACAGTGATTTTAGACTGAAATCTGTTGTGTACAGACGCAAGGAGGCGACTCAAAAAGCTACGAAGCACTATGCCTTTTCCCTCACTCTGTTTGAGCAGCACAGACAGGAGTAATCTATTGAGTCAATTGTGGGTCGATGCCGGGACACGAGATTATGACCAATTGAATCACCGGACCACTGATCAGACTTTGTGAGTGTACCACTTGACGCAGCTCGTTTCCGTAAGCTGTTTATGACATGCTACTCTTGCTACTCTAAGTGATTACCGATTAGAGACATGCGACTTGGTTGCAAATATTCGGAGGATTGTTCTAGGCTTAATTCTGCGTTTATCGAGCAAAGAAAATCTGAAGTGCTATCGGTCCTCTACGGGGGTTGACAAGGCTGTATGTTGGTGAAGCTAAGTCCAAGACAGAAACGTTTTTCGGGCTGAATCAAGCACAGGACCTCATGACCAATGCGGATCGCTGAGCGATGATGATTTTAGACCCTCAGACCGGTATCAGACAAATAAAAACGAAGTGAAATTGGTCTCAATAGACTGTCGACCTTAAATTTTTCCTCTGGCTTGGTTGACAAGTTGTTTTAGCTATACGACCATTTCGCTTGTCACCAATATAGCGTTTTTCTTGTGTATGGGAGAAAGAGAGAGAAAACGCTGGTCAATAAAAAAACTGCATATTTTTTGTCCCGTAGACACAATGACCACTACATGTGTGCTGCCCTATTCGGCTATTAATGTCCGATCGCCCCCAAAAAGGGCCTAATCCAAAGTGAGACGTAAATCTGTCGTGCGTCAGAGACAGAACCAGACAACGCGCCGGCCAGACAAACAGATTTGGCTTTAACGACCGTGATTACAGACACCACCAAAAATGAATCGGAGGCAAGTGAGTCATTAGGTATCGACAGTCAGGCGCCTATCAGCCAATGCCGTGAAAAGCAAAATACACAGTCCTCGAGGCCAATTTAAAACAAAACGTAATTGTAGCCCTGACAGCCGGTTCATTACCAAGTTTTCGGGTTAACTGATTGCGATAAACGGCAGTGTGAACCGATACAAACCGAGCAACATCAATACCGAAATCAACGCGAGAGTAGCATTGGGACCAATTCAGCAGTTGGGGTGGTTGGCGCCGCAGAGGGTGTACGCAAAGGGCAACTAGCGAAGGGATAACATCGAGGCCTAAAATAGTACCCTCATCACCGATACATAACGTGGCAAAAACAGTCGAAGGTGTCGGGTGGTTACAAGCATGTGTGTGTATGTGTGTGCGCACGAGTTTAGGGCAAACTAACTTAAGCCAGAGGCGGCTGACGCAGATTTCCAGGTCTTGGTCCCCGTTTCGGACCTGAATTCTGTTTTGGAGTATAAACTGGGATCGAATGAGCAGAAATGTAATTTTATTCACAACTTCTGATCCGGCTAAACGAACAACGAAGAGATAAATGCATTGGGAGGGGAGTGCGTATTCAAAGCATCGCATATGTCCTTAACATCGTAAGAAAACGAGAAACCACACATGGGGTCCAAAAAAAATAAGTATCAGTATTGGACACCGTCGCTTATAACTGCGGGGAAAAATATTGCGCAAAACTTGTTCTGGTAGTTTGCATTGTTTTTTATCGTAATGACTTGTACAGGCAACTGTCTACATTTCAGTCAAAAGTATATTCACCGTAATAACTGGATAAAAAATAAAAATTTATATACATCAATGATAAAACTTGAATAGGTGTTCATCGCTGTCAGTTTAAAATTAGTTCGTTTCGGATCTTCATTTTTTCAGTTAGAATTTGAGCTAGATGGGGGAACCGTTGAGCTGCGGTAAATGTTTATGCGGGAGAGTAAGCAGCGATAATTGGATCAGGTTGCAGCGTGGGAAGCAGATGTATCCAGATTGAGCGGATGACTGGGGTCATTGAGTTTATTATGAGCTAAATTCGCTAATGAAGTAATATGAAAATCACTCAGTTTTGTGAATAGAGTGATCAAAGGAATAAGAGAAACACGGCTGATAATGACCAAATCGCGACGAAGAGTAATGAAATCCTTCTAAAGTAATCTAGGGAAAATAACGGACGAGCAATAAAGTATGACTGGAAAAATGCATTGATAAACAAAAGAACATAGTTTCATGATTCACTCTAAACTGTCGTAACTTGTTATCTGGAATGTTGAGCGACACAGTCTACCAACACAAACTAGCACATGAAAGGACCACCGTAGATTACTATCTATGGTGACTCCTAAGTATTTGGTGTATGTGTTCTGGTGATGGGTACAGAATTGATGATTGAGGGCTCCAATGGATATTCGGATCGGGAAAGACTAAAAGCGCATTCAAAGCATTAAGAGGTATTCAACTGAAGACCGGATTCGTTTGAGAATGATTGCACTTCTAATAAGGTGTCAGAAAATGATACTATGTCAGTTTGGTTTGAAATGGCTTGACATAAGACCACATCATCAGCACATTTAAAGATCCTGGCTGGTTGGATAGAGGCTAAGTCACTGATGAAAGTTGAAAATAAGTATGGAGAAAGCACAGCACCCTGAAGGACTCCAAAATTATTCACTAACGGTTTGGAATAGTTCCGTTTACTTTCGTTCTTTGAATCCTTCCTGTGAAATAGTTTCAACGAAGACAATAAATTGCTAGAGCACCACGTAATTATTGTAACTTTCGAAGAAAAAAAGATCGTGGAACGGAATCAGAAGCGAAAGAATAATCAAGGAAAACACAACGAACGGATTTTTGAGAATGATCCAAGGATGTGCAAATAAAGTACATCAGTGAAGATGCAGTATCCAAGGTACATTTGTCTTATACGTAAACTGAAGGGAGTCATTGGGAACATTAATATCAGACTGCAAGTAGGTGAGAATAGCGCTCCCTACTTTTTAAAGCGGAGAGGAAGTGATTGCGATGGGGCGAAATCGTTTAGATAAAATGCTGGATGATGATTTTAGGAATGGGAACAACGGTGAACGGTCTCCAGGACTCCGGAATTGAACATGTGTACGTAGATTTGGTAATAAGGGGTGCAAACATCTCAGCGAGTAAACCATAGCTATATTTGAGCAATGACAAAGATAAACCATCGGGGCCAACTGTACTCATGATTGTTATAGTTTTAAGATGATGATGATGGGTGACCGGTTCTCTGATATGTAGGTAATCTGTGAGGAAACAGGATATTACTTGAAGGATACATGAATGCAGCATTTAGGCTGTCCACGTCATTAGTCTTGTTTTGTTGTCAGTTTCTTCTGGCCGCACAACAATATGACCCCTTGTCATAAACATCTTCCATCCCAGAACCTGCTTTGCGAATGATGCATTCAGTCTTTTGATCTCTGCCCTGATTTTTAGCGTAAACTATTTGACAGTAGCGGTTTGGTACATCTTGAACGCTCATTCTTTCTGTGTTCTGAGAGCTTTTGGCCGCGGAGAGCATATTCTGCCAGTATGAACAAAACTGTTTCCATAAGACAGCATAAATTGAAAATCAAATTAGCTGTTTCAGTAAATTTGTTCAACAGAACAGAGAGTTTGTTGAACGGAAAACCACGAGATGATGGCAGGAGATTTGCTTAGGAGGAGTCTGTCGGCTGAAAGATTCTGAATTTCTGTGTTAATCTGTTTTTTTTTTTAAATAAAACCGGGGTATGCCAACCGAGAGTAAACTTTTGGTCTAAGACATAGGAGACAGTGGTCACTAGTGGAGATTGGCGCCTTTAGTTTGAGAGAGAAAATATTAGGATGGTTAGTGATGACCTTGTTCAATACAGCATCTCCTCTGGGTGGGTGTTAGAGAGAGATCTGAAAGGCCGAAATAAAGTAAAGGTTGGGTTGATCCAGGGTGAAAATCACCAACAATTAAAATGAAATAATCATCAACTGGGGAGCAATGAAAGGAATAAATGCATAGTAAAAGAAGCTAATTTCGTGAGCGAGAAGGGGCAATGTATAGACTCATAATAATTGTGCTCCTAAAAGGGGAAAACCATGGTCGACATGAAACAGTTAGATAGTAAATTCCATCACAGGAGAAAGCAAACAACGTTTCGGACTTGCCGCATCAAATGGAGTAAATATAAGTTATCACCCTGTCTCCGGACTTCTTTTTGCTTCTTTCTCTGTATTGTCGAAAACTTGAAAACCAGGTGTGTTGACCAGCAAATCCTCTATGTTTTCGTTTGACCAAGATTCCTGTATGCATATCACGCACGTGTTTGTGTGCACGCGATAAGTTAACAGATCAGTGAGGTCAGTCGATCTGCTAAACGGTAAGCGAATGTTGGAGCTGACTAATGAGGGAACCGTCATCTTCACAGGAGGAATGTGTGCGAACGCGATTGGTCATCCGGCACACTGAATTGAAAGTCCCGTTCTGGTATAACTATGCGAGTTGGATGGCACAAAAGAATAACATATATATCCTTCAGTCGTAGTAGTAGTAGTAATGATGATGATGATGATGATGATGAGGAGGAGGAGGAGGAGGAGGAGGAGGAGGAGGAGGAGGACGATGATGATCACATAAACCTGAGCTATTCGCCTGAAAACTCTTGCTTACATGACTCCGAACAACGAATCAGGTCTGATAAATATCAAAACCCCATACAAATGAAGGCATACGTTATTTTGATGAATCTACATGGTACAGTGAACGAGTACTCGAATACGTCATAACACTGATCACATTGAGGCATCTCGACATGGCACATATTTTTTCTCCTTTTTAATCCATGATGTTTCAGTGTGATTTTCCTTTTTCGACATGGACTTCCCTTTACTGACTTACTAGTCGTACAACTCAATTATCAATCCTTAAAGTGAAATTGCTCAACGGAAGCGAGTTCATAAACACACACAAACACAGATATCGAACACCTCTCCCAGTTGGGCGAACCCGTGAACATTTTGTCTGATTGATCGTTTCGATAAATCAGTTCGGATGAAAATGATATTCAAAGTTTTCATTTCGTTGGAGATTAGAACCGAACGAGTTTTAACATATAATCTGTGTAATGTAATAAACGTTTTCTGATCATGCGTCGATGAAGAATCTGTATTTTTCATGTACTGTAGCACACGAGGAGAGCAGCATATCATCAATAAATAGCTTGAAGGCGTCGGTTACGATGTGTATATTTCTGATGTACACCTTCTGAGAACCCTGAATAACTCCAACAAAGAAATTTTCCACACAGATTTTTACCGCAGCCAAGCACAGCAACTATCTCGTCAAATGTATTTGCGGAATGAAATTACTTGATCACTCCGGGTAACGGTGTTCGATTTTCATCTGATAATTGATTGCTCTGTATAATCCTGCTGAATCATAACACACGATGATATCACTCGTTGAACGAATTAGAGTAAATGTATTCTGTAATGAGTCATCCCCAAAAAGAGTCTGAGTGGTACATTTTACCTCTAATTTCACCTGCGGTAGTCTAGTCATATCAAAATCTAAAATTCCGCCTCATATTTAGCATAACAGATTTCCCATTCGTTGCCGCGACGATCAAGAGCATCCAGTATTCTACTGGTGACCAGGCAGTTCAGTTAACATACAAAAGAATGTTCAAGTGGAAATTTAATTTCTCATAGACAGGTGATCTGTGAAAAGGTTAATGATTTAATAAATGTTTCGTAAGAATGCAGCGATCGATTAAATTATGGCATAAAACTAGGTCAAGGACAAGCAGCCGGAGTATTGATCGGTGTTTTTCATGGTCAACGGCATTACATAGTTGAGAACTAGAATGAAACATGGCCTTACAACTGAAATAAATTTAATCACTGTGGAAAACGAGAAAAGATCACAGATAATGTTGAATGTCGGGGCCAAAAATTCCATCACAAATATACAACCAAACAAGTTTTTAGTGCGTAATTGCAGGTGACTACTTCGTCATTCGAGGTAGGCGGTTGAACACATAGGCAAACGAACGAATCTGATAAAACTAAATAACCTTCGATCTGCATTTTCCCTAATGCCGTTTTGATACAAAGCTACCCGCTCCTCAAGGATCACTGGTAAACCTAGTTATTCATTAATCTCAAACCTGTCGGATCAAGTATACAGGTGACGATCATGATAGTCCAGATTGTTTTTCGACCGCCGTTGAAATTCTGTCGACCGCTATCTGTCACAATAAATATCAATCGTCCGGTAGCGAACGAAGTTATCATATACCCCGTGCAGCGCAACCTATTAATGTCAACCACTTTAAGTGTGCAAACGCCTTAACTTGATACTCTCCTTCTGGTTCCAACAGGTGCTATACTGCGTGGACGCGGGTACGTACAAGTAATCCCATAATCTAAGAGCTATGAGTCACCGTTTAGGAAGCTGTTTTACCAGTTTTGTATTGCATTTTAAGCACTTTGCGTTGCAGATGAATCGCGGCGCAAGCCTAAACTATGGTGCAAAGCTATGAAATAATAGAGCAAAACATTGAAGATGGAAGTTCAAGATTATGGTTTATTTCATCAAAAATGATGGATTATAATGATTCTGATTTACCATAAAGGATTGAAAAACTTTTTTGTTTTCCACGAATGTCATCTCGATTTTACTGATTTTTGTGAAAGGTGTATTCCACCATCAAATCAGCAGTCTTACTCAACATAGTTTACCTCTAATATAACCTTTAAAATCATGCTTATGATAGATTGGAACTCATCAGTTTGCAAGCAAGCGAAACTTCTAGGTGTAAACCTGACCCATGTTGACTGTTATTAATCTATTGTACAGTAAAGAACGACATTTGGTCAGTATGTTTGAGCACCAATAGTGTACTGCCAGCTTATCTTAACACTTGTCTTTATAGTGCCCACAGGCAAGGCGGAACCCGTTGACCCTCAATTTTCTGATCCAACTGGCATCAATTCATGGGGCAAATAACAAGTTATATATTTCGCCTTTCTATGTATTTGCATTTATGCAATCAAATTTCAAGGACATGCCCATGCAAGATTGCACGCGTAAATATTGATACAAGAAATGGGGATGTCACTGATGGGGTTCGAACCCGGGACATTCAGATTGATGTGTTGGTAATGAAGGGGATTCTGTTGCTGCTAAAACTGCTACTACTACTATTACTACTGACGTTACTATGAACTATACCGTTCTTATTGGTTCTTAAATGCGATTCGGTGGTACACTACTTTACGGACAACTAGTGCGTTCACAACAAGCGGACAGTTAAGTCCATCTGCAAACCAGAACAATTAAAAGATCATTACACAGTTAACCTTTTCCCGTTTGACTAGGTATGGGCGAGTTCGACAGACAAAACCAAGATCTACCGTAAACTATTTTGTGATATATTTTCCAAACGTGATCGACAGAACCTGGGTAGTGCACACATTTTTTTATTCATTTTGTTCACAAAATCGCGCTCGGAACTCCGCAATAAAATCCAACTCGGGTCTTACACTCAATTCAATAGTAAAATTAATCATACTTGAAAACCTGAAAGATGTTTGTCTACGACTGGTTAGAGAAGGTGTTCATATTGATCTACCTGATGCAGTAGTGAATTCCACAGAATTGATACGGGACAGACTTGACGCCTGCCCTCGCACGATTGACTAACGAGTAGTAGTGCATGCACTCAGAAATTGATCCGATCGTAACAGGATCCAACTAACGAAAAATTGTACGGGCAACAATGCGTAAAAAACATTTAGGAAACAGGTTGGGTAGGTTTGATGAATTCCAAAGTTTTTCGCTTCAGTTAAATTTGCTGTTGGGATTGGCCGTTTTCTGTGCTTGTGCGTGTGTGTATGTGTATGCCCGCTCGCGCGCCATAAGATCAGTATCCATCAAAATTTTGTCAAACGGATTGAAGGGATGAAACTCGGTTAATTGTTTAGAAAACAAGATCGATGTTTGAGAAAGCTATGGAATACTCGAGTAGTTGTCCTAGTCAATCACTCAACCCCACCCCCGCTTGGCTCGACGCACATAGTTTTTTTTTATTTTGAAGAGCATCTAGTTCCCTTTGAGAAAGACTTGATTGTTTTGTTTCTACTTTTCCTATAACCTGAGTGTAGTACACGGTTTAAACATCGATCGCAGTCTGGATATACAAAAACCTATCTAATTTACCCAGCGCACACACGACGAGCTACAACAAAGATCGTATGACATCCTAGTGTTTCGTTACTGGAGTAGGCAACACCATTAGTTAAACTTCGATCGCCAAACACGGAAGTTCAGTTACAACCTCGGAAAGCAGACCATCAACAACAGTTCATCCACTTGGATTGATAGCGCACTGCTTTAGAGGGGTTGGGGGGCACACGGTAGATTACGCTGAAAGCGGATTCTGGTCTAATTTGGTGGCCTGTATCCACTAGATGGCCAGAAATGGTGCTTCCTATGCCCCCTGCTCCTCCTTGCTTTAACCAGCGTGGGCAGTGTTCCTTCATCCGTTGGGATAGTTGTCTCGCCGTGTGGTCATGTACGCTGCGTTACAAATGCACCGGAAAGAGTCAATAACCATGGAAGTGGAAAGCGTGG